GCCCTATTTCTCAGCCTTCACAATTTTAACATATGTAGACTTTTAACTCCCAGAATTTTGGTAGCTGAAATCTACAATTCTTAAGATTGCTAAAATTGAAAAACACTGACTTATTCAACAATCTGTGTAGAACAACTGTCAGAAGAAAACCTCTGTGACCTCAGAACAAGTGTCATCAGGAACAGAAATTTTCAAACTTCTCAGGTTGAGGAAACTGTTACTTTTTCAAAAAAAATAAATAAATCTCTGATCAAGAAAGCATTTGCATTTGAGTAACATTTTTTTAATGACAATAACCACTCATGGAGCATCAAGTCCTTCCATAACCCTAAAACAGTGATGGCAAACCTTTTAGAGACCGAGTGCCCAAACTGCAATCCAAAACCCACTTATGCATCGTCGGGTGCTGGGTGGGTGTGGCCCATTGGGTGGGTATGGCCCATTGGATGGGCGTGGTTGCGGTGGTAACGGCAGACTGGGTGGGACTAAAAAGTTCAATCAATTCCAACTTTGCAAGATTTTTTTTTTCCTCGAGAAGTTGAAATTGACTGATTGATTGAACCTTTTTTTTTTTTTTTGCACACGGCGGCGGAGGCCTAAAGTGAAAAGGTTTTATAAAACCCAGCTGAAAGCCTAGGACTGGGGCAACAGCGCGCGTGCCCACAGAGAGGGCTCTGAGTGCCGCCTCTGGCACCCGTGCCATAGGTTCGCCACCACTGCCCTAAAGTTTCACAGTTAATAAACCCCGATTGAAGGTACGCAAAAAAAAAGAGAAAAAGCTGAAATAGTTTGGAACAATATGCTTTGAACTGATGAAACAAGACTTGAACCATTCAGTCACAGCCACATAAAATACGTTTTGAACAACTGAGTATGAAAAATGTGAAGAAAATATTTTACTAACTGTTAGGCAGGAGAGTTGCTCTGTTATACTTTTGGAGTATGTGGCTTCTTGTGTAGATGCAAGGAAAAATAGATTCCCCAAATGCCAACATATCCCACGGTGAAAAAAATTGAAACTGAATTTGAAACCACACAGCTTGATGTTGCCGAGGTTCAGAAACACTGATCTAATTCTAAAGTACTGTAACTGGGGGAGATTATCTTCAATAGATAAAATAGCCCACAATTACGGAGACACCTGTAACATTTCTGCCTCTAACAGAGGCCCCTGTCTTCCTTCTATTGGAATGAAGCTGGATCCAGGCAGGTGCAATGAAATCACAGACACACATGCCTTCAAACTGGGGGCATCCAAAAGGGAACATTCTTACATTTGGGGAAATATGATCACCTGCCAACATGTTCCCTGTTTTTCTGTTACAGCAAGTGGCATGGAGCAGAGTTCCCCAACCTTTTTGGCTTTGCGGACCGGCGGGGGAGGGGGGAAAAGGGGATGGTTCCGTGTGCGTGGCGGGAAAGTGTATGTGCACTCCATCTGCACGAGCAGCGGGTTGCACAAATGGGGATGCGTGCGCATGCTCGTCCACCACTTCCGCAGCCTAGTTCTGAAAGGCTCAAGGCCCGGTAGTGGGCCACAACCCACAGGTTGGGGACCCTTGGCATAGAGCAGGCGTCTTCAAACTTGGTCCTTTTATGACTTGTGGACTTCAACTTCCAGAATTCCTCAGCCCTGGGAGTTGAAGTCCACAAGTCATAAAAGGGCCAAGTTTGAAGACCCCCGGCATAGAGTATAGGATGCTATATAAGTCTGTTGCATAATTTATTCTAGAAATATATTTTGATAGTAAATAGAAGCACAGAGCAACAGGGAAGACAACCAAATGTATTTAGGACAAGGTTGTTGTTTTTTTCAACCGAAAAAAAAAGTCTCTTGCTACTAGTTGAAGGCTGCGGCACCACCAAGCACGAAACAAAGAGATTAAGAGTACTAGTTAGTTTTCACTATCTGTGTCTTGAAACCAATGCTTCAGGGAAAGTCAATCACAAGAACCTGGCCCTGTGGCATCAAATGAAGTAGATCCATTGCTGCATCTTCAGTTTGCTAGATCTGGAGGGAGCACTGGCCTTGAAACTTAATCATGAGCTGTCTCAAAGGTGCTTTTTCAAAAGGCAACCGTACTGTTTTTTTTTTCCCTTGTGGAAGAAGTTTTGCTTTCCCCCCCAAGAAGCTTCATCAGTTCTGGGTGGATGGTAGGATGGAGGGATTAGATCTGACACGATGTTTGGGGGGTGGGATATTACATTGTTTCCCCTGTCTACAACGCAATCCTTTCAGCAGTTCCAAGATTACACACCCGTTTCCACTCTGATTCAGGTGACCTCCAAGTAACCTCAACAGCTTTCAGAGAGAGTACTAATGGTCAGATGACTTCTTCTTCTTGTGCCATATCCCTTATCAGACGTTGGCGATCCCGTTGGCGATCCTGTTTTTATCAGCAGCCGCACGAAAAAGTGTTGCTGAGTTTTCTCCAAACCAGTCTCTTAGATTTTGAAGCCATGATGTTCTTCTTCTGCCTGGACCTCGTTTGCCTTCAATCTTTCCCTGGAGGATTAAATGGAGTATGCTGTATTTTTCTGGGTGTCGCATCACATGTCCGAAATATTCTAATTTTGGTTTTTTAATTGTTTTGATGATTTCCCTTAGATTTCCCAGGCGGCTTACCACCTCCTCATTTCTGATCTTGTCAACCCAGCTTATACGTAACAGCCGCCTGTAAATCCACATTTCAAATGCTTCTAGTCTCTTCAGATGGCCTTCTGTCAGAGACCAACTCTCTACTCCAGACATGTCAAACACCAGGTCCGGGGGTCGGATGCGGCCCGCGAAGCCATCCTGGAAACAGTGAGGGAACGGCCCCCGCTGCCTTGGCCCTGGCCGGCCGGGAGCCAATGTACAATTTTGTGGTGGCCATCTATGCTGAAACGCATTCAGTCTTAGCTACACAAGGCCGTCTAGAAACAGTGAGGAACCTGCCCCTGGGTGCATGCTGGGGAGGTGTCACCCTTTGTGAGGAATGAAGAAATGGACCATGCCTTGGTGCTTGCCCCGGTCCCACCCCCTTCTGCCAGAGACCCTCAGATCTGTCCCACTCCTGCCCAGGCCCCCACAGGCACCCTTGATGCGAACTATGTAGAGCTGGCCATGCCCATCCAGTAGGCCACACCCACTGCATCCACACCCACCCAGTAGGCCTCCCCCCCTGCCCCCCCCCTAGGGCAACCGCAGTGCTGATGCAGCCCTCAATGAAATTGAGTTTGACACCCCTGCCCTACTCCATAGAGCAGGATAGAAAAAAATATAGCATCTGACAAGCCTGATTTTCAGTCTTAGGCTTATGTCAGATGACTACAAAAAAATATCTTTACACATACACACACACACCTTGTCAGAACTAAACTTTTCATTCTCCACCACCAGCAGCCAGCCAGAACTGATGAAGCTTCTTGGAGGAAAAGCAAAACTTCTTCTTCAAGGGAAAAAAACATTGTCCAGTTGCTTTTTGAAAAGGCACCCTTGAGACAGCCATGACCTGGATGACTGAGAATCTCCATAGACCAGTGTTTCTCAACCTTGACAATTTTAAGGCATGTGGACTTCAACTCCCAGAATTCCACAGCCAGCATTGCTAGCTGTGGAATTCTGGGAGTTGAAGTCCACATGCCTTAAAATTGTCAAGGTTGAGAAACACTGCCATAGACATTTCCGATGAGCTATTTTTGGTACCCTCATAAAACAAGATTGGAAAAAGAATAATTGAAAAAGAACACCATTTTTTTCCTTCCAAGCAGAAAAGTTTATTAGAAATATAGATTAATATAAAAATGCAAACAACTCCCCCACCCCACCATGCCTAACAGAACACAACCCCAGTAAGTCCATTCAAACATGGAATATTGAAGCAGGATTCACAGCCATTTTATGTTTTGACAATCCTTTTTGAGACATCTCCTTTCTGAGCTTTTTGACACACCTTCCCTTCCATTTTTTCCCTTACCCCCGTTACAAGCCTGGTTTTGCTCTTTCTCTCCTGTCATTCCTTCGCAATCAATGGGTTTTCTGATTTAATCAAAATGGCAACCACAGAACAGGGGTAACTTGATCTCCACGTTGTTGGATACATCCCTTGCTGGGCTAAATCTTGATCAGATGATCCGTATCCTCTTTCTAACTCAGGCACTGAAAGTCTGACTGTGCGTTGGAAGCAGAATGCGAGGAATGGACACTACCAATTATTTGGGGCCCATCAACATTTCATTCTTCAGACTGATGAGCCAAAGAAAAAGGGGAGTGCCAAAATAAAACATCAGGCAAGGAGGCAGTTAGCTGAGGGAGGGTGCTGGGTGACATCCAGCCCCATGTTCACAAGAACACTATCTGTGGTTTGGAGGGCAACATAGGATCCCTGGATGACAAAACACCTGTCACTAGAGATCAATAGGTAGGGACGATATGGAGAATAAAGAGAACCAGAGAAAAAGACTGGAGTGCTTGGGGTGACTTTGGTGCTTGGGGGAAAAAAAAATTAGACAATTTATGAGTAGTTTGAGGAATAGGTGCTTTGGGGAAGGTGGAAAGGAAAGGACTCCTATAGACACTTTTCTGCAGACTCGGCTCAACACACTTCCTCCTCAAACAGGGCATCCAGTTCAGCCAGTTTTTGCTGTAGCATCTCCTCCAGTTCAGCGGACTGGGGCTGGGCCCGTCTTCCCTTCGCCCTCCGTCCCTTCTGGAGGCGGGGTTTGCGTTGCTTACGGGGAAGGCCCACCTCCCTGAACTCCACTGCCCTCTTCAGCTTGCGTTGGCTGGTGAAGACAAGGGCTCCGTTGCGTTCCAGTGGTACCTCAAATATGGTCTCAAAGGATCTGTAAGGAGAAAGAGGAGGAGACGGGACATCAAATTTAAAAAGGAGAAACCATCCCCGAGGTTCCTAATAGCGAGATCAGCTTAGGCTGGTAGCTAACTGTAAAACTGCTCCGGATATTTAACACGGGGGGTGGGGGCTGGGGGGTGAGAGCGATGCCAATGTTCATGCAATCAGAGCACATTCTGGATGTAAGGCATGGAGCTGCGATGTCATCAGACAATTTTGGCAATCTTCTCAGTGGGTGCACAAAAGATCAAGAGCGAAAGAAAAGGCCACTTTACCCTAATGCTACACATTTTCACGGCCGCCAGACTGACCTACTCACAAAATTGGAGAAACAAAGAAATCCCTACTGAAGAAGAGATTCTACATAAAATTTTATTGTGTGCGGACATGGACAGGCTAACTATGGAACTAAAGGACAAGACAGAAACGGACTATTTTGGAATCTGGGACAAATTTTACTGCTGGTATGAGTCAAGAAGAACTGTTCGGGTTTTGAGTTAAAGTTTAAGTTTGTGGTATATAAAATTATATGTTAATATATAGAGAAACAAGTTTGACATTGTATAATATTGTATTATATAGGGGAATATATATATATATATATATATATAGAGAGAGAGAGATGTATATATAGAACTTTAAGTATGATAAGGAACGAATTGTTAGGATTATATATACTGGAAGGTCATGTCATGTCCTTTTTTGTTTTAATTGTTTTATTAATAAAAAACTTTAAAAAAAGAGCAAAAGAAAAGGAAAGGGGGATAAAATGTGAAGACAAGGAAAAGCTTAACACACCTCTGTAGCAAAGTAACTACCTACGGTTCCCTTTTGAATGTAGAGCCTTTTGTATTCACTGCTTGCTTGTTAAAAGAACTGCTTGACCCACCCCAAGAATGAGAAGATTCTAAAAGGGACAACATTTACTATGGTGCAGTGGTTCTCAACCTTTTCTTCACCATGGACCCCTTTTCAATACCTTTTGTGGCCATGGACTAGCAAGACTTAACAAGGATTTAAATCATAACATTTCTTTATGCCTTCGCAGCCCCCCTATGACAGTGGTGGCGAACCTATGGCACGGGTGCCAGAGGTGGCACTCAGAGCCCTCTCTGTGGGCACACACACTGTCTCCCCAGCCCTGCCTCCTCCCACGGCCCCCTCCTCACCAGCAGCCCCCCTGGAGGAGAGTTGCCCCTGGGCGCGGCCCACATGAAGCAGTGGAGCCAAGGACATGGTAGCTGGGCAGTGGGGACAAGACTCCGCCCTTGTGCCCCATTGTGTGCAGATAATGCTGCGAGGCAGGGGCGGAGGGCATGGCTGCCATGGCACTGCTGGGCTGCCTGGGTGATCTGGGAGGGCCGTGGAGGTGGTGGGTGGCACAGTGGGCAGGGCGGAGCGGGGACGGGGGGCAGTTTTGGGGCACTCGGTCTCTAAAAGGTTCACCATCATTGCCCTATGAAAACATCCCAGCCCTCCAGGGGTCTGCGGACCACAGATTGAGAACCACTGCTATAGAGAATAGCCCAGAAATTCTGCATGACAGCAGTAAATGGGAAGCATGAGATGAGCATAGACTGGAATAGTTATTCAGTGTGGAATTCCATAAGTCCTCCATGGTCCATCAGCTAGCTGAGTGTGGTTCACTGGTGCATTAGAGTCCAATGCAATTAACCTAACTTGCATGTTGTTTCCACAACAGGGAGAAAATGCTAACGCAGTGTTTCTCAACCTCAGCAATTTTTTTGTTTGTAAAATTTTCATTAATTTTTAAAAATTACAGTCTTTAGTGCTTAGTAAACAACATGTTGTCTGGGTTCAAATATAAATCTGTTCAGTACTACACAATCCAGTATTTTTCCCCTGATCCTCCTTGCTTCTCCATATTTTTTCCATTTTCCCTTCATTACACCATTACAATTTTTGGTAGTGTTAATGTATACAGAGTTAGATATAAGCATCTTCATCATGTTTTACTAATATGCAAATAACAATAATATCAATTCGTAAATCAATAATATCAATTCATTAATCAATATCCTGTTTTTCGTGCTCTAGTTAAAGTTTAATTTCCCATCAGTACTTGAAATATCTTTATCAGTTATGATTTTCTCAATATTAATTACATTTATGTAGCTGGAAGTTTTATTCAAATCAATCCTCCTATCTTCATATTTCCCACATGAAAAAAGAGAGAGAAAAAATGCTATCTTAATTCTAAATCATATCTTTCATTATAACAGTCAAATTATATCTAAAAGTCTTTTGTTCTTTTAGTCTTATTCAAAGAAGTATTTAAACATACAATGCCCCCTCTAAAAGGTCAAATCCTCTGTTTTTTAAATCTAACTCTCATTTTCGTTCTTTGCCAAGTCACTTTCCAAGCCAGGGCAATTGGATTGCCCAGGAATTTTCTTTCTATTTTTGTAAAAATTGCTTGGCACAAGGGAGACAATTTAGGTAGGGTATTTTTGGGGGGGAATTCCACCCATTTATATTCCTTAAACAACTCCCAGTTCCTTTCTCCCTCGATTTCTCTCCGTGATCAACAAGGCACCCCTCCTCTTCATCGCCTCTTCGGGGCGATTTTAGGCCCTTTTTAGGGCCCCCAGCAGGACAAAATCGGGCGCGGAAGGCAGAGCCCTGCCTTCCTGCATCCTGTTCTGCCGTGACGCAAACCGGAAGTCTCAACTTCAGCAACTTTAAATGTGTGGCTTTCAACTCCCAGAATTTCCCCAGCCGGCATTCTGGAATGAAAGAAGTGTGGGCTTCACTCATGCTGGCCTGGGGGATTTCTGGGAGTTAAAAGTCCACACATCTTAAAATTGCTGAGGTGGAGAAACTCCGTGCTAAAGCAACACGTAGCTGATACTTCACTTGTGTTCTTTCAACACTGCTCCTCTAAAGCAATTGTCTTCTACCATGAAACAATCCAGTACTTTTATACGTGTTAGCTTTCTTCCATGGAGTGCCCTTCAAATCATTTGTCTCGACCTTCCCAGCCAATATAGCCAGAGCATCTTTGGTTAGAAACTGCCAAAGCATTTCTTTTTCAAGCGTGTTGACTCTCCTTGGCTACTGTGAGTCCTAGATTGAACGCAGAGGTTGTGTTGTGGTTTGCTTAACTATGGTTTGCAGAACTCATAATTTTTTCCCCACAAAGCTGTTGAGCCATAAACCAGAGTGTATAGATGGTCAGGTTCCACCACCTTGTGACTCCACCACGTATCAGCCTGGCCAACCTGGACCAGGGGCCATACAAGCCATTAGCCAGCCTTCTCACCTCTTCTCCGTGGGTGTGTGATAGTTCTTGTTCGTGTAAATCTCCTCCAGACTGAACTCCTTCTTGTTCAGCCTGAGAAAGGAGAGAAAGAGAACATATTACCTTGGGATAACTTGGCCAGTGGGGAAAAATATCTGTCAGATAGGAGAATTGTTCTGCAGAAAACATTTTCTCACAGTGTACAAAGTTACAGTCTGCTCAATTTTCAGACAAGTTTCTTAGTCTGCCATTCCACTAGATCTTGACAGGACTGCCCACTGGGCCATGTTGTCCAGAGCATCTTTGAAAAATATCTCCGACGCGAGGTTCCAGGACTCCCTCCTCTTTAAGTCCTGTTCTTCAGAGTTCCCAAAAAAGGTGGACTCTGATCCACCACCAGAAGGTGCAAGTCCTAGATCTGTTTCGATGCAATCGAAAAGCAAACGACCCAATAGCAGAACTTTAACCCTGGGAAAGGCCCGGCCCCGTTCTGCTTACACATTGCCCCCCCCTTGGGCTCAGGGAGGAATCTGGATCCTAGGTTTGCAGGCCGCTATTGGGTTCTTTTGAAGCTCACCCCCGTCTTTCTGCAGAAGCATTTTCATTTGGGGCCCGTTCTCCCAATTTGTTTAGGGCACGCTCTCACCTGACTGGACGGGGAAGGCCCATGGGGGTGAGATTGACTTGGTGCTTGGCTGGAGTCTTACGGATCCTTATGCAGGATACTTTCCCTACAGTGTTCTCTTGGGATCCCTGCGGGTTTTAGGGATAAGAATGGGCATGACGGGATAGCCAATCCCTAGAGAGACAGAGGGCGCGTCTTAATCCACCCCCACCCCTCACTGCACAGCACTTCCTCTGCTAGGCCCTACATCGAACAGTGACTGACCTTCATCTCATCTTCTGAAAGCATCAACCGCTGTGATGCAACCATGCCTGGGCCAACCGCGGACCCCCTTTGCCCGCCATCTGGGGAGAGGGAGGCATTCCTGAAAAGACCAAAGAAACACATCACGTCCAGGTCAAAGACAGTCCAGATGTTCTCCCGGTTGGAGAAATCTGCTCATTCGGTTCAGAGAAGGGCAGGAAAAGAATTTAAATGAGTCTTTTTTCTCCTCTTCCTAAGTTTCCAGATGTGTTACAATTACACAAATCCTCATCCTCCGCATGTACAACCAAGAGCTGTGTAGTCCGACACTTCTTATAAGGAAAAGAAAGAAAGCTGGCTAAACCGGAGGACCCATTAAAGATGCAGCACTTTGTGGGAGTTGCAAGAGAGGCGGAGCAAGGAAGAAAGCAACAAAAGTAATGGCTCTCCCATGCGGACTCCAGAACTAGTCAAGAATCGGAAATGCAACCATGCCTTAGTGTCAGGATCCAGTTATATTTACTTTCTATCTATCTCCTCTAATCTAAAACCAATTATTACTATTTCCTGGGTCCCGCCATACTCCCAAGGGGGAGGGGGCACAGGCAGAGGGGTTTTATTACTTTCACTTCCTCCATTCACTACAAAGTAACCTTTTGTTTATTCGCCTCTACTAACCATTACAATGGAACCATTTGACTCTTACCCTATCTCCCTCTGAACTTCTCTTCCTTAACGGGGAAACTAGAAAAGGTGTGTGTGTGTGAAAAGACACAGACCTTCGTAATCTGGTTTATTTCTCCGTGGTCAAGATAAACTCTGAAGAGCTGGTGAATGATCGTGGAGCCGGTTTGATGTTATCTTTCATGGGTTTAACACCTAGAGCAGTGGTGGCGAACCTATGGCACGGGTGCCAGAGGCGGAGCCCTCTCTGTGGGCACACGTGCCGTTGCCCCAGCCTTGCCTCCCCGCAACCCCCTCCTCCCCAGCAGCCCCCCCTGGAGGAGAGTCACCCCCGAGCGTGGCCCACGTGGAGCAGTGCAGCCAAGGACATGGCAGCCAGAGTAGACAAGACTCTGCCCTCACGCCCCATCGTACACAATTGATGCTGTGGGGCGCAGGCAGAGGGCGTGGCCAACATGGCGCTGCTGGGAGATCTGTGGCGAGCCCTGGAGACGGTGAGTGGCCCTGCGGGCAGGCGGGGTGAGGGCGGAGTGGGTTAGGGGCAGGGGTGGAGTGAGGCGGGGCCAGTTTTTGGGCACTTGGTCTCTAAAAGGTTCGCCATCACTGACCTAGAGAATTACCGGCCTAAGTCGACCGGAAGGAAGGAGTTTGCTTAGGGACACTTTAAAACATCGATGTATAAGGGAATCCCTCAGATCCTGTCTATTATGTCTACTATCAATTTCTTTTAATAAAAGTTCCTGTTGGAAGAGACTGTTTCCAAGAGTTCTGCTTTCTTAAGATGTGGATTGAAGTGGTTCCTTACATTTGGTCTTAGGAAGAAATGGACCTCAGGGGATCCTGGCCTGGTGTAACCTTGATCTTAAAGAACAGCTTTTGCAATCCTCTTGCTCAAAATCTTAAAAACAGCAGACAACGGCCTCCAACGTATTCTTGGACTGCAGGTAGTCCTCGACCTATGACCACAACTGAGCCCAACATTTCTGTTGCTAAGTGAGACAGTCGATCAATGAGTTTTGCACCCATTTTATGACCTTTCTTGCCACATCTGCTGAGTGAATCGTTGCGGCCGTTAAGTTAGTAACCCGGCTTCTAAGTGAATCTGGCTTCCGCGTTGACTTTGCTTGTCGGAATGTCGCCAAAGGGGATCACGTGACCCCGGGACACTGCAGCCATCATAAATATGAACCCGTTGCCAAGTGTCTGAATTTTGATCACGTAACCACGGGGATAATGAAATAGCGTGAAATAGTGTGAAAAATGGTCATAAGTCACTTTTTTCAATGCTGTTGTAACTTCACTCACGAAATGATTTGTTGTAAGTCATACATTACCTATACACCCCTTTTATTCCAGGTCATGCTGGCTGGGAATGGAGTCCAAGAATATGTCACCTCAAATCTCTCAACATAAAAAGGATGCTGCAAAATGGGTCCCCAACCCCCGGGCCCTGGCCCACCACCAGGCCTTGGCCCGTTTGGGACCGGGCCACGGAAGCGGCATGCGAGTAGCTCCATTTGTGCAAGCAGCATGGGTGTGTGCCCATCCCTCACGCAAATGGAGCCCCGTGTGCTCGCCTGCTGCTTGCATGTTAACCCTTCCCTCTCCCTCCCCCACCCTGAAGGTTGGGGATCACTGCTATCAAAGAGCTTACGTTCTTTTGAGGAGCAACATACATCTTTGGGGAACAGGGGTGGAAATGCTTTTACCTGGAATGCGCCGGGTCAGGTTCATGACAGCAGGATGGTGCGAGGGAAGAGTAGGAGGACGGATCACAGTGGGCAGCAGCATGAACCAAGGGTCTTAGCAAGAGGCGGGCAGGGGGGGTGCTGAAGGGGTACACTTCCTTACGCAGGCAGGGCAGCGTGGGGCGGTCCAGTTCTCGGGATACTTCCAGACTGCAAACCGTGTGTCGGCGTTGCCGCAGCTGTGGCAAGGGAGAAAGCAGCGAACAGACATTTTGCCAAGAGCAGGCTCTAGGAAAATCAGGGCAGGAGTAGCTGCGTCCAAGGCGGGACTGCGGAGCCGGCTCTCCTTGGCTCAAGCGCCACTGGTGGATGGAGGGTCTCCCGCTCACCACCAGGCGGTTCGCTTCTTCCTGCTCTTCTTCGCGGCAAGAGCTCCTCTTGCGGGGACGTGGTTCAGAAATGGCGATTTTCACCTCGATCTTGACTCCTGGGCGCGGGGTGGCTGGCGGAGTTGCAGCCGCTTCGTCCGCATTTGCTGGAGGACGCGGGGACGGGGACGGAGATCCCTCAGTAGGCGGCAGGGATGGTTTGGACGGGCTGAGGAAGATGTCGGCAAAGGCTTCGAGTTTCGAACGCATGCTTTGGAAGACTGGGGCCAGGCTCCAAGGCCTGAAGCGGGGGACCAAAGACGGACGCAAGAGAGTCAAAGCCGAGGTAAGGCTGGATGCTTCAGAGGACGGACCTGATGGAAGGGGAAAGAAAAAGCTGTTACACAGGAAGCGAGGTCAGAGAGGAAAAGCAGAAGTATCCTAAGGGCCATTTACACGAGATGTTCAAACACTGTTCCTCTTTTCTTGCTCTCTCTCTCGCTCTCTTATGCACAGCAATATTGCTAAATAGTTACAAGGGCATAGTAGCTCGCCTTCATTTTCATCCTCAACATTTGTGTCTGTAATGCTAGTATCTCAAGACTAATAAATAAAGGGAAGAGGAGGCATTCTCATCACCGATCAAGATAGAAAAGAATTCCTTTCCCCTTACATTAGTATTTCTTAACCATGGCGGGCTGGGAAAATTCTGGGAATTGGAGTCCACCCCTTTTAAGTTCGCCACGGTTAAGAAATATTGCCAAATTCTTTGGTGTGCTAGCCATGCGACCCTTGGCCGCAGGAAGGGCGATCGCTTTTGCTATCGGTATATTTTGCACATTGCCCAGTGACTTTATTTAGTTCAGAGCTCCAACCTGTGCGATGCTCCTGGTCACGTAGATCTGAAGGCACTGACTTTTCTAAGCTTGATGATTGATGAGGCAATTCTCGCTGATCACTCCTGAGCAAGAGCAGAAAGAGTGTGAAACGACGGGCAATCATTTTAGCTCTTCAGTCTAATGATGTCCTGGAACAGCCTTCTCCAACCAGGCAGCAGTTAGAAATTTACCCAGCTAGTGGCATTAAAGGATAAAAAGGGTTAAGTCGTCCCCAGTCCAAAGGCTCCAAATAAAATAGACTTCCATTCTGGCAACTGGCCTACCAGCAGGGTGTTTGGCAATCACGGTACCTGGAAGGCTAACACACCTGGAGAGCAGCCTGTTAAAGAAGGCAACTCTCAAGATCTGTTTGGCCGCACAGCCATAATCCTGGTGAAGGGAGAAGGACGGTTAGTCAGTCCTCTACCCTAAAGTGGAAATGCTCACCTGCAGGGAGGTGGAAAGTTCCTCAGCAGCTCCTTGCCAATGCCGGCATCCTGCCGGTGAGAAAAGAGGTCTGAACCAAAAAGTAGCCACCTTCCCTTGACCCCACATGTGAAAGGTTTGTCCGTGTGTCGCTTTCCCCAGGGGGATTTCCCGCAGTAAACTCACCTGGGCTTGGTTCAACGGAGAGTCCTCCAAAGCAGGGATTGGCCCATGAGCCTCCTCTCCTGGGGCGGCCCGTGTTCCCTCTCTCCCATTCATTATAGGGACTCCGTTCTGCAGGCGCTGCCTCTTGGCCTGCAGGCGCTCTGAATCACGGCCGCGAGGGGGGCAGAGTCTTTGGTCCCTCAACTGCCAGCATGCCTGAGCCAACTGCTCCTGAGGTCCTTGGCAGGGCTGAGAACCTACCTTAGGGAGAAGCGATCTGGGGGAGCAAGACAAGACAGGTAGCTGCTGATATCCACAAACCGCACTATCAACCTTTGTCTCCTGGGTCCTTGCTCACCTGTACACAGTGCTATCCTGTCCGTTTCTTGACCAGGAAACTTCGGTCTCATCCTCAAAGGTCAGCTGGAGGGGTTTTGCGGAAGGAAACGAGGCAGGCCTTTCTAGAAGGGAGCATCTTTGTGGAATCTCCTGAACGGAGGGAGAGACAATTCAACTTTCAAACACCTCTGAACGTCAGTTAAGAAGCCTCTTTTCCTCATCCCACAAGCCAGTCGTGCATTTTTTGCTTTAAAATAGAAATTCTTCCTTGGGTGGAAAAGATAAACTAGTCTCTTGCCTGCTGTGCCTGACAGAACCACAGATCATGTAATTCACTCCCCTGATTCAGTTACACAAAACGTGGCACTTGAACAAATTCCTGCCCTCTGAGACCCTCTAGGCTGGGAGGGACATTTAGGCCACGAAATCTACCCATCTGTTCTGTGCAAGTGTCCCAATTTCAGAACACAAGATTTGTGAAGAGTTTTGGAGAGACAAGATTCTAAGAAGAAGTTTCCTTTTTCCTGTCTCATTCTGCCCTACCATCATAGCTCAGTACTAAAGACGTTAATAACTCAACCCCAAAATGCATGTCATATTATATCATTGTCATCCCACAAATGGTTAGAAACAGGAAAAATAACTTGCAGATTCGAAAAGAATTCTAAACATAAAACAACTTGGATAAATCAAAAGGTCTCTGCTTAATAACAAAACAAAACAAAACAAAAATCACGCATCAAGCCTGAAACAATCCCAGATAGCTTTCTGGGTCATCTGGTACGGAAGAGACACCTGTAAAATGACATTTTTAAAGTTGTTGTTTTTATTCTTTATTTATTAAGCAAATTTACATAGCTGCCCGACTCACACCTAGATGATTCCAGGTGGCTGTATCATGTTTTGGTTCGTGCATTTCATTTATATTCAATAAGCACCAGCTTATTACTTCAGAACACCCAATCCCAACTAGCAATGAGGGAACTGCCATCTTCCTATGGAAAGCCTGGGAGATACATCATCCATTCTGCTTGGTAGCCTATCCCAGAAATCCCTTTAACATTCACCCCAGGTTTTACAACATCCTTACGGGCACTCGGGTTGTGGAAAAGTCTTCCAGATCAACAGCCAACACCTTTCGCTGTTTCTTCTCCATGGGAGATGCCATGTGCCACAGGGTCTCTCCCATCCCGTCGCAGGCACCTCTGCCCTCTTCCGCCATTAGTGGGGAGCCTTGCTGGAGCCGCTGCTTCTTCTTGGGTGACCACCTTTCATCCTCACACAAGGGGGGTGAAGTTCTGCCTCTGTCCAGGGGCTCCAGAAGACGTGCAGGGGTTCTCTCCTCCTCAGCTGCAGGCCTGCAAAAGGATACAGAGAGAAAGTCTCAAAACAACAGCCTGATTCCTCCTCCTCCTCCTCCTCCCATTCTTCCCACTTTGAATTCCTGCACAAAAGACGTGGCAATCTCTCACCTGAATATGACTTTTCGCTGCCTGGCTATCCTCTCAAAATTAGATAATGGCAAAGGATCTCCCACAGAGGTTCCTTCAAGAAGGGTGCATTCCATGGCTGGATTCAGACCCAACACCTTTTTGGGGTCAGGAATTGGGAAGCTCCTCCATTTTTCCACCAAAACCTCATTTCTCACCTCTCTGTGGAATGAGTTGGGAGAGAAAGCAAATGAATAAATGTTTACTTATTTCATTAAATAACAGATGCATATACTGTATATACATAAGGCTTTGCGTTTTGAAATAATTGGCAATGAGAAAAACTATACTTCATTTAAAAATATCCCCAAATCAAGGTAAGAACAATGGCAGAGTTAATGGCTGGGAAATGCAACATTTTTTAAAAAGATGGCTTTTGTATGGCTAAAAGATAGCTAATTTGAGGCTTGGTATGCCCCAAAGGAATTCTACTCATTTTTTTTTATTAAAAGTTTTATAAAAGTTTTACAATATAATTGCCCCCCTCTCCATTTTATCATACAATCCTTGACCAATTCCGTTTCTGAATCCAACTCTATCAAAGCATTATAAATTCTTTTAATATGAGCTTGAGCTTGATCTTTAATCTGTTTAATCAAATTTCCATCCTGCAAAGTAATACCAACTTTTTGATCCAAACGCCACCTCATTAGCAATTGATTGTAATAAAACCAAGAATATTCAATATTTTCTTGTTTCAAATCTACTAAAGATTTAATTTGCCAGTCTCGTCCCACCGGACGAAGTAGTTCCTTATAAGAAACTTTATCCAAGTTAACTCCCCTAGATATCCCCTCTATTACCTGTCCTGGAATTGCCCAGATAGGAATTTTATAATTTAGTTTATAATAATATTTCTTCAAAACTCTTAATAAGGCATTTCTTAAAATATGAGCCTTAAAATTTTTATCTACCTTTTTATCATAAATTAAATATGCCTGCCAACCAAATAACAAATCCCATCCTTCAAGAGAGAGTATATTTCTATTTGTTAAATTTAACCAATCACTAATCAATGTCAAAACCACCGCATCATAATACAATTTTAAGTTCAGGACTTTAAGCCCTCCTCGTTCTCGTACATCTTGTATGATCTTAAACTTAACTCTTGGCTTCTTGCCCGCCCAAATAAACTTAATACCCTTTTGCCAATCCTCTAAATTAACATCTTTTTTTTAAAATAGGAATCATTTGAAACAAAAAAAGAAATTTTGGAAGAATATTCATTTTTACCGCTGAAATTCTCCCCAGCAAAGATAATTGTAATTTTTTCCAATCATTTAAATTCTTTTGCACCTTTACCCATAAAGTTTCATAATTATTTTTATACAATTTAGCATTAGAAGCTGTAATATAAACTCCCAAATATTTTACCTTTTTAACCATTTCAAAACCTGTGAGCGTAACTAAAATATCTTTATCATTCATAGACATATTTTTCGGTAATATTTTAGTCTTATTGCTGTTTACCTTAAAACCAGAAACTTTCCCATATTGTGCAATAATTTCAACCACATCAATTACCGAATCTATTGGCTGAGTTAATGTTAACACCAAATCATCAGCAAAGCTCTTAACCTATAATCATTCTTATTAACCTTTATTCCCTTTATTATAGAAGACTCACGAATTTTAATTAATAAAATTTCCATTGTTAATACAAATAACAATGGAGATAATGGACATCCCTGTCTAGTTCCTTTTTCAATTTTAAATGCTTCTGTTAACCCCCATTAACTATAATCTGTGCTGATTGCTGTTGATAAATAGCCTTAAGAGCGGACAAAAATTTTTCCCCAAAATTCATTTTCTCTATAACTCGGAACAAGAACCCCTATACTCATTTTGTTGTAGTGAACTACCAAAACTATTTCTCAAGGAAATATAAAACAATCACAGAAGCCTAAAAAGAAAGGAAAAAACTGATAAAAAGTGATCGCGTTAAATAAGGTTAGTAGCGTCAAAATGCTGAGGAATTTGAAATAGCCCAAAAATATACTACTAACTAAAGACATGTTCATAAGGCACCCGAACCAACATAACACAGCCTCTTTCAAGAAGGATATTCAGTGGAAGTAATTAAAACTGTTTTTCAATCTTGGCAGCTTTAAGATTTGTGGACTTCAGTTCCCAGAATTCTGCAAGTTGAAGTCCACACATCTCAAAAATTTGCCAGTGTTGAGAAACAATTAATTGAACTGTTATGCACCCATAGTTAATAGGTCTGTTATTCCCCCACCTTCTTCAGTTTGGAATTTTAATCATGTTTAAATTTTTAAAAAAATCATTATTAATCATTCCATCTTGGAATCAAAATGCATTTATTTAAAAGATATTCCACCCTCCACCAGTTTCTATTCTCATAAACTATTAACCAATCTGAGTATCCTAAAAACAAGAGAAGGAATTCATTATTAACAAAATAAAAATGAGACAGCCTACTTCTACACAAAGCTACACTTCAATGGGAGTGACTTACTTCCTGTTTTTTGACAGCAGATCAAGTGTGTGGTGGGGTGTGCTTTCCTAAGAACGATGGCAAACTCTGCTCTCATCTTTGAAAGATCTGCTATTTTAAATAGTTATTCTTCTAAACCAGTATTCTTTACCTTGATAACTTTTAGATGTGTGGTCTTCAACTCTCAGAATTCCTCAGTCAGTATGACTGGCTAGGGAATTCTAGGAATTGGAACCCACACATCTTAGGAGTTGCCACGGTTGAGAAAAAAATGTTCTAAATGGTGCTGCACAATACACAGAGGTAAGTGAGGAAGTATGATTATGCCTCAGAGAAGCCAATTATGAATCATTAGCAATCATCTAAATAGTATGCTACTAAGACTCATTCTTCCTCCCACAGCAGTTTTCCAGAATAAGGCAAAGTTAAATTCAGATAGTGCTGGGAACCTTTCCCAGCATATCAGAATATTCCTCTATACCAGGGGTAGGCAACCTTGGCTCTTTTATGACTCATGGACTTCAACTCTCAGAATTCCTGAGTCAGCATAACTGACTCAGGAATTCTGGGAGTTGAAGTCCATGAGTCATAAAAGAGCCGAGGTTGCCTACCCCTGCTCTATACAGTATGTGTGCATATATATTTGACTCTTGGTGACTGCTGGACTAGTCTCAGCAGTGTTTTTGGCAAGATTTTTGGAAGTGGTTTGACATTGTCCACTTTCTAGGGCTGAGTGATTGGCCCAAAATTATCCAGCTGGCTTTGTGCCGAAATGGGACTAGAACTCACAATCTCCCGGATTCTAGTCTGGTGGCTTCTAATCTGTTGCCTTAGCTACTATATCAAACTTACTGCCCTATGTAGTGGGATACTGTCACTGTACTTATATTAAAGCAATCAAACCAGGACAGAACTCATACCTCCCCCCATCACTCCACATCTTTTAACAACAGCAATACTCATGATAGGCTAACATGTACAAGTCAATTTGAGTCATTACATGATAAAATCCAAAATTGTCAATTCTACCACCCCCAGTCAAAAAACACAAAATAGTACATCAGCTTTCAGGTTCCTTAGACTTCCAAGCAAGATGCCGGAAAAAGCAACTTTTCTTTTGCATCAGCCTTTTCCCACCAAGCTGACAGATGACAAATTCCTGTGAAGTGAAAAGCTTTCACACACTTTCCTATGCTAGGGGTTTACCTTAATAAAATACTTAAGACTTTTTTTCCCCCTTACGTGTAGCAACACAACTATGATTTTCCCTCTCTTTTTCTTGATGTTGCTCCCCATTATTGATAAAGAGGGAGTTTTGCAAATATCACAAAAGTTAAACGTTTCAGTGTGTGTGTGGGAGAGAGAGAAACAGCAAAGGTCAAATCATGGGACAGGATAGAAATCAAGATAACTCACATCAGTGAGTCCTGCCAGGCTGAAATTAGAGGCCAAGAAGAGTGCCAATTCTGCCAAGATGATAATTTTAGGAAATGTCCATCCTGTTTTTGCTAGAGAGCCTCCACTTAGCAAGGAAGCAACTATTCCAACATCTCTCCCATCTCATTCTTCCTCTAAGGCAGTGGTTCTCAACCTGTGGGTCGGGACCCCATTTGGGGTCGATCGACCATTTCACGGGGGTCGCCAAGCAAGGCTGTCCGCCATTTTTTTTGTCCGCCATTTTTTTCCCCTTTTCCGGCGGGTGCCTTACCTCCCTTGGGCTGGGCCATCTGGTGGTCGGCCTGCTCCGTCTCTGCCGCTTGCCAGCTACGCCTCGGCTGGCGCAGGGGGCGGAACCACGCATGCGCGGTGCTCCCGGGCAGGGAAAGTCCTCGACCTACGACCGGTTGGGTAGTCCTCGAGTTACGACCGGTTTAGTCCTCGAGTTACGACCGGTTTAGTCCTCGACTTACGACCGGTTGGGGTCGCGGCATTAAAAAGGTTGAGAACCCCTGCTCTAAGGCAGGGGTAGGCAACCTTGGCTCTTTTTTGACTCGTGGACTTCAACTCCCAGAATTCCTGAGCCAGCATGGCTCAGCTTGGAAACCTCTCCCTTTCCCCTCAGCATGGCTGGCTCAGGAATTCTGGGAGTTGAAGTCCACGAGTCATAAAAGAGCCAAGGTTGCCCACCCCTGCGAGTCTAACGGTACTTTTTTCAAATCTTAAAACTTTCTGCAACACTTGGCTGGGAAAACACACCCAGAATCCCTTACTGGGAGTCCCTCTTGTTGTATTTGTGTGACTCTTCTTGGCCCCCGTTTTGCCAACCTTCTTCCTTATTAAGCAAGCGGAGGGAAGCAGCAAGCGGAGGGGGCATAACCCCAGGCAGGACTAGAGCTTGAAGCAGCTTTAACCTCGGGCGACATACAAGCACCCCCCTTAAGCGCAGCGGAAGCGATCCCACAGAAAAGGTCGCGTGTTTTTCGAACTTTTAAAAACGGGAGAGGGGGGGAGGGGGATTTCGCTTCCCAGAATTCTCCAGCCAGCCCGCCTGCCTGTGCGCGAGCGTGACGTCCACCCACGTTTTCCCAAGTTTGAAAAAACACCGGGCTAGGGCGCACGCAAAGCCGAAGATCGTTTTTGAAGCCTTTGGGCACCTTCTTACCCGAGATGACGTCTGAGGATACAGACACATACACACGGACCACACGTACACGCGC